CAAGATACAACAATCAAATAACTCATTTTCTACATGGAACATTATGTATGACAAGGCCAGTGAATGCAAAGAATATAAATCAGAAAAAAATATGTTTAATATATATTAGCAAAAGATTAATTAAAAATAATATAATCCAAATGATCAAAATTTTTCCAGAAAACATAAGTAAAAATGGTAAAATAAAATAGCTTAATCCTCATTGGAGGTGATAGAATTTGAATATTGCAGAATATTTTTTTTTTCTTTCTATTTTGGAGATCAGAGGAGCAGAAATCATGATCATCAAGAGACTAACCTGAGTTGCAATACCAGCATGATCAGTTCCGGGAAGCCAAAGTGTTGGTCTTCCCCTCATGCGATGGTACCTAACCATGATATCCTAAAAAAGACCACCAAAGGAGACAAATACAAAAATAAATAAATAAATAAGCATGACAAGACCAATAGATTTTAGTGCCAATAAAATTTTAAAAATTGCAATGTCTAAAAAATAAAGGTTGGAATCTGTCAGAATTAGAAGGATCCTTATATCTTGATATTTCTCCCTCCTCCACAGCTTCATCTTGTTGCATACCAAAGTCACTAACCACATGCAATTAAGGATGTGTGATCTTTTTCACTAAGAAAACCTTTTCCTGAGGTTAAGAAATTACTTTTACCACCATAGACTCAAGTGCATACATAAATAAAATCAAAGTTACTGAATATGTTATATGAAACATTCATCTATGGTGAGATGCAACGGCTGCCCAAAATGTAATTATGTGCACTTTTTCATAAATACATTCGGAAAACTACAATAAATGTAGCATCAGTAATGCCTGACAAATGCATCCTTACATGTACAACATTACCAATGAAACAAGTAAAAAGAACTGTCTTTTTGAAGAATTCTAAAATCATTCTCACAACCTCAAGAGTCACAAACATTGCATGTCCCATGTGCAGAGAGCCAGTAACGTTAGGAGGTGGCATTGATATGACAAAAGGATCACTTCCCCTGTCAAACTTGGGTCTGAAATAGCCTTGAGACTGCCACCTGACATCCAAGAATTACATAAATACATCATCTCAATAGAAATATATGTTAAGAAAGTCTGCTACAAGTAATGAACATATAACCATATCTAAACAAGGTGAATCCACAAATGCAGCAGTTTCACAAACAACTTTTTCAACAGTTAGTTCAAAACTGTAGAACGATAGCGCAAAACAGCATTTAGAGACACACACCCCTTCCTAGACTAGAACAACAATAACAAACTAAGCCTTGAATCCCATAACTTTAAGGTTGGCTGTATGAAAGGCCAAAAAGAGAATCATGTTAGGTCATAGTTTTGAATCTTTTTGCGCCACTCATTTCTATCTAAAAACAACCTTTTCATCTACTTCCTTAACCCTCATATCATTTCTTATTACTTGCATCTACATCTTTCATGGTCTATCTCTATAAGTTTTGATCTCTCCCAAATCCAAAAACTCATTGCTCCAACCTGGTACACAGATAGGCCTACATTTCACATGTCCAAACCATCTCAAACGATCCTCTCTCATCTTTTCCTCAATTCAAACTACTCCTAATTTTCCTCGAATAAATTAAACGAATACAATCTTTAGAAACATACATAAATTATAGGACTTGTATAAATGAAATCTTGAAGATCAATATTTGGTAAAATTCTAATGCGAAAAGTGATTTGATGTCTTTAGTCATGCTAGCGTTTTACACAAAAAAAAAACTTGAAATGACAAGAGAATAAGGGTTTTCCTTATTATCATAAAGATAACAACCAAAAGCAAGAACTTAGGACTTAAAGATAAGTTAATTAAAATAGCCTCTTCCCTTACATTATTACATTCAATCACATACAATTTGACTTCATTATAATGAAAACTTTTATTTGGTCAAAAGTAAGGACCAAACAACATAAAACCTCAAAATTCAATTTGAAAGAGGAATCTTTAATAAAAAAGAGATAAAATAAAGAACAAATTATCAGATTCAAGAATAAAATACCAATTGTATATCCGTTCCTCTGAAGTAAAATCAAATGACTTTGCCAACTCTGGAGAAGTGAAAACGCCATTCTCAGATGCAGCAACTGAAAATACAACAAGAAACTGAATTCATATGCAACTCAAATAATTAACCTCTAAAATGAATACACTAAAGATCTTAGAAATATTTATCCCCTAATTTCATTCATTAATGCGTTTAACTAATACTTTCATTACTGATTTTTCCTTACTGAAAAGCGTAAAATGCAAAATTAAATTACCTTTAATGAAAATAAACAATTAACTAATATGAAACACACATTCAAACATAATTTTTTCCATATAAAAGTAAAAAAAAAAAAAATGCATCCTGTTATTAAAAAATTTTACCTAGTTTTTCTCATATTTTAGGCTTTCTGCCCCTAAATTCATCCAAATTTTCACAGAAAATGTTTGACTTTTTAAGCTCATTTTCTAACGCTGAATTTTCGAAGAAAACAAAAGAAATTAACTCGAGCACATGCGCAATTTAATTTAATTTTCCTCCACTTTCTCAGCAACCAAACAAACAAAAAAAAAATAGAGAGAAAGCAAATATGCAATTTCTTTTACCAGCAAAGCTCCGACGCTTTATGAAAGTGAAACGAGATTGAGAGCGGGGAAGAAAAAAACGACAGCGTTTGGAGAAGAGAAGAGGGTTGAGACTGTAAGCAGAACGAGAAGATAAAAGAAAAGGAGGAGAGACAGCCATTTGATGGAGACTCATTCCTCAGAGAAGATTGAAATTTCTTTTTAAGAGCTTTTTATTTTTTAATTATTTTTGTAAATTGTGGCGGGGTTCTAATTTTCGCTCCTACTGATAAAAAGGAGGAAAAGTAGAAGATTAGGGATAACGGAGATTGGACACATGGATATAGCAAAGCAATTTTTCGAAAAAAAAAAAGAAAAGAAAAATAGGCAACTATACGAAGACTGTGTAATAATATTATTTATTTTAATGTTTTGTTTAATGTTTATCATGTGTAATAATATTATTATTTAAAAATCTGGCCTTCAATTTTTCTAATTTAAAAATAAAAACATATTAAAAAAATCATATTCTCTCAATTTTTTAAAAATTCATTATTAAGAAATTTTTGAACAATTATTATATTATATTTTTATCATTATAATTGATTTTTTTATTATATTAAAAGAATAAAATTTTAATTAAATTAAAAAAAATCTAATTTAAAATCAAATTTTTGATATCTCTTTAAACGTTTTTAATCATTACGTTAAAAGCTTTGAATATTATAATTGATTCTTTCATTTAATAGACCGAGCAATTTTTTTATTTTAATTATATATGAATCTCTTTCTATTTAAAATCAACAAACATACAAATAAAGAAAATATCTTATTTTTATACTGCAATCCAAAAAATAAAATATAAAAAATATAAAACTAAAATAATAAATGAAATTATAATTCATAATTTTTGGGTAGACCCAAATATGGTAAGTTGGTAAGTGGAAACCCAACTATTCAGATTTGAGTAGGGTCATCTTTCTTTCTTTCGTTTTTTTTTTTTTTGTTTCTTTTTTTTATTCTTCCATCCCAAACATATCGTTACGGTGTTTCCGTAAATAACTCAAATCGTTTTTCATCTCTCCAATACTCTTCTTTCTAAAATTATTTTCTTCAATTGAAATATGTATAAAATACAAAATAAATATTATGTTAAATTTATCTAGACACAAATATAAAAGATATTTTTTGTTTTTTTAAATTCATATACAATTTTTTAAAAATTTTAAATTATATTATTTTTATATTTTTTAATATTATTTTTGCATAATATTACCATATCATATTTAAAATTATTAATTCGATCACCAAATAAATTAAAAAAAAAACACACAAACAAAATTAGCTTAGTGTATATACATAAGGATAACAAAAAACAAAAAAAGTGCAATTCGATGGCCTTCTCTTCAACCAATATCAAATCAACTACTCTCAAGAACACCGCCCTGATCTTCATCACAACGGTATTATTCTTTGTATTGTTTCATGTGAACTAATTGGAGCTGAGCACTTGGCAATGCCAATGGCTTGCGCCATAGATGATACAGACTGCATCGTTGATCCATGATCTTCCTTGTATGGACAAGTACAAAACATAAAGTTTTTGGTGAGCATATTGCTTCCAAGACAAGAAATGTTGTGCCTGACCTTGTGGTTCAAGCTTTTGCTGAGCTAAGCTTAGCAATAGGGTCCAAGGACTTGTGGCAGGTCAAGTGATCTTGGGAGTTAGGGAAAAGAAGTGACCTTGAATGATTTAGGTTACATTCATGTGCATAAAGCTGCAAAAGCTTTTAGAGGCATGTGTTGTTTGTGGTGCCATAATAGGAGGAAATGACATTGATATTGAAAGGGTTAGGAAATATGCAAGGAGCATAGGGCTGTTGTTTCAAGTGGTGGATGATATTTTGGTTGTGCCCAAGTACTCTGAGGGGCTAGGGAAGACTGCAGGGAAGTACTTGGTTAGCAATAAGGCAACCTATCCGAAGCTGATGGGCATCGATAAGACAAAAAATTTTGCCTCTAAGTTGATGTTTCAAGCTGCTGCGCCATTATATCATTTAGCATACTATATCGCTAATCAAGAAAATTGGCCATATTTATTTGATTTGTTGGAAAATAAAAGGAAAAACTGCCTCCATTGCATTACAGTAGCTCCCAGACTCCTAGCCCTCTAAGGTAACTAAACCTGAATTTGGGTAACTTTCAGATTCCATTGGGATATTTGTTTTGGTGATATCAAAGGAACTTACGCTAAAGCTTTAATGGTTCCTTTATATTTGGTGGTTGTTACACGTCAAACCATAAATTTACCAGCTTGAACACAAAACCTAAAGTTTAAAAAGGATCAGTTCTCAAACCTTTCTTATACTCTGGTAATGAATAGAACTGATATAATCCAAGTGATTTGCAAATGACATTAGAGAAATGATAAAACATGCATGGCACAATTAACTCTCACTCAAGTTGTCACTCCAACCACCAACAATTGCACACCCTAGCTCTTTTCAATCAATTTTGCAAAAGCAAGTCTCCTCGCCATTAGCCTCGAGCCCAGGGTTGACAGGTCTTAGCAGGTATGAAAGGTGAGATTTCAGAAAGATGTAGAGTTTGCCAAATTCATGATGCCCTGCCAGCTAAAACTTATTATGAGCTTTTCGATGCTCTACATATCACCAACTGATAGCATTATTTTGATATAAGCCTTAGTTTCAATCTAAAACTTTCATGCAAAAATAATTGCCTAATACAAGCTAAGAGTGCCGATAAAAGATCCTCATACTTGAAAGGACTAGAAGTGTAATCTCCCTGGTCTTTATGCCGGCAGTGCATAAAAATATGATTATTACTCATAGCATGAGAGGGAATTCATTTCTTGGAAAGGTCAAAGCATGCAACAAACAGCAAATTGCTTTACATGGAATAAGTTATTAACTTTAAGAACTATATCTTGTAAACAATCATGTACTCTCATCTGATAACAAGGATAACAAAATTAGGTCTTTGATCTCATTTGCATGTAAACAAGGGTAGCATATCTTGTAATATTATACCTCTTTACATCAAATTTTGGGGATAAGGGTAGATACCTTTAAAACTCCAATGAAAATGAATATACCAGTACAATAGAAAGAATTAACCCATTACTTTTGGACGCCAACCAGCAACTACATCATCAGGACTTGCACGTGTGTTAACAAATGACTCCATTGAGAAAATTGTCTGTCCATGAGAAATTAAGATCAGGAGAAAATCACCATATATATATATAACAAGCAAGAGCAATTGAGATTTAAGGAAAACAAAACGATAAATAAAATTTACACATTCAGTTATACATTTAATTCTATGATCTCGAGCCTAGGTTCTAGTGTATTTTGAACTCAAGAACCAAAAATCAAGATTTGTGCAAATAAGCGCACATTAAGATGTAAGAGGGAGCGAGAGATAGTTGTCATCAGTTGTTCTCATATCTGCTTTTTCATGTGCTCTAAGTGTTGCTTACAGAAGCAAGATGACAGATAGATATTTGGAGCATAAACAGCATACCTTCATGTAAGATTTCGCATAGGGAAGTGAAGCTGGAACAGACCATTTCTTATAATGCCCCAAAGCAATCTCAAGATGGTATAGCTTTGGTCCCAGAGACAAGTCTGCTGCAGAAATCTTCTCCCCATTGATAAAAGGGCCCTTTAAGGAAAAGAATAAATCAATTATGCAGCAGATGACCGGTTGCCATGATCAAATTAACAAAATAAGTTATTTCTTTGTCATCAACAATTTATCCCATCATCATAAAAGAACAGCTATTGTCAATCGAACCAGATAAATCAGTTATTTACATTAAGATGTATAAACTGTTCAGCCTAACCACGAGCAATTGTGAACCATCGTAAGCAAATCAAGATAGAAGCCTCACATTTTCTTTGATATAATCATTGAATAAGCTTAACTCATTGAGCAATGCCTGATCTGTTCCATCACTGGGATCTTTGCTTTTAAGAAAACCGATAAATGTAGAGAAGATCTTTGAACCACTGCAGGAGAAAACCAAAAGCTAGGCATAAATTCTCAATTGATAATTCAAAAACTTTCAGAATGTTCTTATTGATGATGCTCAAAAACTGATATAATGTTTAAGCAATTATGAAATAGTCATGCCAAATATCAAATCATAAATTTTTTATCAATAAAATCTGCAATTTGTGGTCCTTCTTGAGGATAAAATGATGTTTCAACTATTCAAACAAAACATAATAGCATCTCCTATTATTTCTTACATATGTCAATGGATAGAAATTTATGCACTAATGGCTAATAAAATGACTGTGACCATGAGGAAAGTGTTTCATATTATTTGTTAACTGTCTAGCTAAAAGGTTCTCTCAAAATAAAATGCCTAGTGTTTATACGTGGTGAGACATGTTAACAGTGTCTTTTTAAGGTCTTGAGAATGTGCACTCCAATCACTCAAAGCACAAAATTAAAATACTAAATGTTGGAAGGTCAAGAAAATATCAAAATAAGCCAGGCCAATAACTTACTACACAACCAACACGAAAAGGTAACTGAATCCCCTTTAGCCTCCCCCTAGCTTAAAAAATAAATAGGGGTTTATTCAAGATCTTCTGCAGTCTACCACTAACTAGTATTCAGTCAACTTTATGTCTAGATTAAGGCATACGGCAGTGAGCACAAAGACATACACTGATGCTTTCTCCGGAGGGGTTACCAATGGTGGATCAGGGTACTTTTCTTCCAGTGACTGCGTGATGACATCAGAGTCAGGAACCCACTTCTCATCAAGTTTTGCAACCGGAACCTTCCCTTCTGGACTGATTTGTAAGAACCTGAATTAGACCAATGCATTGTTAAAATAGATTTCATTATAAAACCAACAAGTCAAAAGGTAGCACATTAAAGTCTACTGAGCTAATCTGATGGATTCGTTGGGCAAATGAATACTACATAAATAATAATCCAAAGGGGTGACTTTCAAAACAATTACCATTCTGGCTTGTTTGCCAAATCTACCAACTTCATGTCATAAGAAAGATGCTTTTCTTCCATAGTTAGCAATACCCTTTGGCAAAAGGGACCTGAACCACACAATTCACAAACAGGTAATACATATTCCACCACAACACCCAAACATACCATACTACTCACTTGTAAAGAATCAACTTTTCCTACTTCTGACATTACAAATAGGTAATAAATATTCACTTATATTTGATTTGTGGATTCTGCAGATTCAATAAAGCTAAAACTAAATACACACAAAGTTTATTTCTTTCATTTGAAAATGTTCACATTCTTCCCCTTCCAAATTTTCTCAAAAAAAAAAAAAGGAAAAAATAGCTAAATCTATTAATAGTTCTTCTTTATTTGAAACAAATGCAAGATTACAACAACAATAAAAAAAGAATTGAACTTAATTAAAAACAAATTGTAACTTCTTTATTTTCTTCACATTTTCTCAGTAAGCAAACAGACAGAACAGTAAGGTTTAAGTAGAAATCCTAAGTTCGAGTCATGGAAAGAAAAAAGAAAGAAAACCCAAAACAGAGAAAGATATTTTACAGTCTCCGACTTTGTTGGGAGTGGTAACAGAAGCTTTGACGCAGACTTCAAGAGGAGTTGTGGACATGGCCGCCATTGTAACTGTGAAGCTTCTAAAACTTGATATTCTGGCTCCATTACGGCAGCTTTGAGGGAATCGAAGGCCCAAGGCTAAGTGGTGCTTGAATGAGGAAGACAGAGCTGTGGCTGTCGCCATTTTTTTTTTATTTGTTTTCTGCCTTCTGCTGGGAAATGGGTTTCCGTTGAGTAAAATAAAATTGAGAATGTTGCTATAGATGAGGAGGTTCTAAGCGCTTGTATACGTGACAAGTGTAAAGGTACCCATTAGACACCAATCGATTTATCTTTTATTTTTATCTTTAATTTTTTTTATTTAACTCTATTTATAACGATTATAATCTGAATTTGTATTTGGAATTAGTTTTATTTGTAAAGAGAGTAATTTTTTTTATTAATCTGATTTCATTTTGGTAATAACATTATGAGAATAAAATCTTATCTGTTTCCATAAGCAAACCTGTCAATAAATCGTGTCTTTGGCCTTATTTTTCAACACAATTTGTTTCTATAATCAAGATTTTTGATGGATTAATAAAAAATTGGTTTACTGAAGTACTAAAATATAATCTGGCCAAAAAAAAAAAAACCAAAATATAATCTGGCAAAAAAAATACTAAAATATAATTGAACTAGATGATGCCTAATAAGTAAAGAGAATCTTAGGGAAAAAAAAAAGGGGGTGGGGTTTGCGTTTAGAAAAAAATCTAGAGCGTAGGGGTTGAGTAAAGGATTTGACAGAAGCTTGTTCCCCAAACAATGATTTTGTTCTGCCATTGTCTCTATATATCGATTCTATGTGTTCTTAGCTTTATTTGGATTGTTTTCGTGGGGAATTTATGGGTTTAGAACTTATTTTGTGCCGTTTTCGTTATATTGGGTTTTTAATGAAGTTGTGTGCACTGTTCTTAACCAAACCGAATGCTGCACATCTGCATGTTTGCTGTTGATGGTTTGTGTCTCAGAATAGGATAAAGAGACGTAGATGGTTCAGACTTTGAACCAAATTAAACAATGGAAAGCATGTTACGAGAGCCTATACCTTTGCATGAATTTTGTTCACATGCCCGGCAGACATTTTAATTCTGTTTGAAAATTTTCATGGGCAGTTGAATGTCAGGAGGTGGATAGACGAATGCCTTATAGGTTTTTTTATTCTGCTTAAAAATTCTTCATGGCAGAATGGCTTGATGATGCAGTCAAATCTATGACCTAATACAAGAGATGTTCCCTATTTGTATTAAAAAGACAGCCTAGCAATGTGAAAAGAAAAAATTAAAAGATAAATTTTGACTTAAAAAAAGTTTTTCCATAAACTTCATTTGCTTTTATTCTAACAATTTCACCATTGCCATTTATTTAAACTCATCTCCTTAAAAATACCAACTCTCGAACCCCATTTCAACAAATTTCTCTTACATAACCCATCAACCATGGCTAAGGCAGTTGACAAACTCCATCCCATCATCATCTTCACCTTCACCTTCCTTTTGCTTTCAATTTCTCTCTTTAACGCATCACTTTCTCAACTTCAAACCCTATCTCCAGCTCCAGTAACAATGCCAGTCTCTGACTCATGCAATGGGAAAAAGAAAGGGAAACAGAAGAAGGAAGCAAGAACAAGTCTTGATTCACCTCTCCTTTATGCTGCCTGTACAGGTTCGAACTTTAATCTCTCACTCTCTCTCTTCCCTCTTTACTTTTCTTTGGGTTTGAATTATTGAGTTTGGTTGTTGTTTTGAGTTTGCTTCAATGCTTCTTCATTGTTGTCACATAAGTTTAACTGTTAACGGTAGTTAGCAAAACAACACCCTTTATTAGATCCAGAAGCTTTTTGGGACAACGATGGGTATTTATGGTTTTAACTTCTGTGACAAGAAGTTTTACTATTGATTGAAGTGAAATAGTAATTGTAATTGTAGTTATTTTTATTTTGATTATGCTCTTAATTGAACTAATTCAGTTTAGGAAGTAGTTTAATTTAATGGGTTTTTTCCTTTTAAATGGGTTTTAATGTGTGTGCGTGTTTTGGGTGTGTTAGCTGCATTCAGAACCTTTTCAAACATTTGAGAATGATGTTCTTATTTTCTTAAGATTTTTTATCTTTGGTAATGAATCATCTGCATGATTATTTTTGTTGAACCTAAAGCAATAAATACAACAACGTAAGAGTAATATATCATAATAAACTCATAATAATAGATAACAATTAACAATGTAAAAAAAATAAAACACACTAGATTTACGTGAAAAATTCTTCAATGTAAAAGAAAAAAATCACGGATCACTAAAAAAATTTTTATTATCAAATAATTGATATACAAAGTTCTTCTCTAGCTAAAACTAGAGCTAATCAATAACTAGAGAGATAATTGAAGAAATCTCACCAAATAGATAATTCAACAAATATACTCTGAATTTGTTCCTAAAGAGTTTCAAATTTAATCTTCACTGTTCAGAATATAAAACTTTGAATCATAAACCTACTGATAAAATTTTAGCTTAATCGAACTACGGATCGACTTCCGTTAAACCAACTCTCCCTTCTCCCTTTTCTTTCTATTTCCCTGGCTTTTCTTCTTTCTCTTGGTTTCGATGCCACCACCTTTTGTTTCTCTATTACACAACCTCTTCTTTTATTGTTTAAGGCTTTATATAAGTAGGGCTCTTTTAGGTCAAAGAAAAAAAAAAAAAAGGCTTTAGGCCATTTAATTGGCCAAAACCAATAGGGATGGACCCCATTTTTCCTAACAATCTCCCCCTCTAGCCCTATTAGGAGGAGATTCATCACTATAACAGTTTTATTTAGAACTTACCTTAACCAAGGAACCCATTTCGACCAAGTTACTACAGAGCTCAAGCTTTTCCTTGAGAAGTGTCTTAGTCAACATATCTGCTACATTTTCATCAGTATAAATTTTTTGTAATAGCATTTATTGTTCTTCAATCACCAAATGTAATCAGTGATATCTAACATTAATGTGTTTCATTCTAACATGGTACATGGCATTCTTACTCAAATCTAAAAGCACTCTGACTATCACAAATATCACATACTCTTTTTTATTTAACTCTAATTCAAGAAAAAAATATTTCATCCAAAGTATTTTTTTACCTACTTCGGTTGCTGCAATATACTCAGCTTTTATAGTTAACAAAGTAACACACTTCTATAACTTAGATTGTCAAAAAATAGCTCCTCTTACAAAAGTGAATAAATACCCTGAAATAAATTTCTTACCATCATGATCATCTACTATATCAGCATCACTAAACCTTTTTAGAATTGATTGTGAAACTCCATAACTCAAGTACATTTTTAAAATGCCCTTCAAATATTTGAAAATCTATTTTACTACTTCCCAATGAACCTTTTCTGGATTAAAAAGAAATTTGCTCATTATACCAGCTGCATGAGCAAGCTTAGGCCATGTACAAACCATAAAATATATTAAAGAACTGATTGTAGAAGAATAAGAAATACTAGACATAGCTAGTTGCTCTTTCTTAGTCATTGGACAAGATTTCTTACGTAGATGAAAATGGTTGGCAAGTGGACTACTAATTGATTTAGCATGTTGCATATTGAATCTATTAAGCACCTGTTCAACATACTTTTCTTATGACAACTACAGCTTTTCAGCTTTCTTAATCTCAGATATTGTCTACACCGAGAATCTACTTTGCTAGACCTAAATCATTCATGTCAAAAGACTTAGATAATTTTTCTTTTAACCTACGAACCATACTAGTATCTTATCCCACAATCAACATATCATCAACATATAATAAGACAATAATGAAGTTACAATCAAAAAATTTTTTGACATACACACAAGGATTTTTTTATAGTTGTGGCTCACCATAAAAGAATCAAACTTTTTGTACCACTATCACAGAGCTTGTTTCAAGCCATACAAGTTTTTTTTTTTAATTTGTAAACTAAGTGTTTTTTCCCTTTCACTTCAAAACCCTCAAGCTAATTTATATAAATGTTCTCTTATAAGTCACCATGCAAGAATGCAGTTTTGACATCAAGTTGCTCAAGTTTAAGATTCAAACTAGCTGCTAATCTCAGTTCCTCTCAAATGGAACTTATCTTTACAACTAGAAAAAATATCTCATCAAAATCGATGATTGGTCTCTGAAAAAAATTTTTATCACCAATTGAGCTTTGTACCTTATTAGTTTATCACCATCCTTTTTCAACTTGAACATTCATTTATTCTTCAATAGTCTTCTCCATTTTGAAAGTTTAACAAGATCATATGTACTATTTTTTCACAATAATTTTATTTTTTTATTGTTTTTAACCAGTACTCTTTGTCTGGAGTAATTTGTACATCTTGAAAGTTTTTTAACTATTTTTCATTAGTAACTAAAATAAAATCTAAACTTGGATACCTGGTAGATGGCCCGTGCTCTCTAGTAGATCTTATAGGCTGAGACTCTATATCATCTGATGTTAAAAATAGCTCATTTTGCTTAACATTCTCTGTGAAGAGGACTGTTCACCCTATTCAACACTTTTAGGTAGAGAGGATTGTTTCTCCTATTCAAAACTTATTGCATCTAGCTTATCACTAATTGTGGCTAACTCATTCATATCCTTAACTTTTGTTTCTTGCTCATTTTCATCATTTGTGATTTTTTCTTATAAAATCCCTGTCAGTGTTGAAACATCACACTCAATAGTAATCCATGTAGTTTTATCATTTTTCTTGAGGTCTATTATGATTTTTTTTCATGGAAGACTACATCTCTACTTCTAATTATCTTTTTTTTACTAGATTTCACACCTTATAGATAAATTTTTCATCACTATATCTTACAAATACACACTGTGTGACTTTACTGTTAAGTTTTAACCTCAGCTTTTTCAACACATGCACGAATGTTTTACACCCGAAAATTTTTAAGTGAGAGTATGACATATCTTTCCCTGTCCACACTTTTTTTGGAATGTCAAAGCCCAAAGAACTGATGGTAATCTATTAAATAAATAACAAGTTGTGTTGACTACTTCATCCTATAATGGCTTTGATAATTTTACCATCCTCAACATACATATAACTTTTTTCACAATGGTACGGTTCATCATTTCAACTACCCTATTATGTTGCGATGGTTCAGGTTTTATTATCTCATGCCTTATCTCATGTTTTGAATAGCACTCTTAAAGTCTTTAGATGTGTATTCCCAATCAATCTGAATATACTTCAAGGGTAACCCTGTCATCTTTTATACAATGGTATGAAATTTTTGAA